TGCAGTACGTTAATATGTAGTACTTTGGTATGCAGTACGTTAATATGCAGTACTTTGGTATGCAGTACGTTAATATGCAGTACGTTGGTATGCAGTACGCTAATATGCAGTACTTTGGTATGCAGTACGCTAATATGCAGTACTTTGGTATGCAGTATGCAGTACATTAATATGCAGTACTTTGGTATGCAGTACGTTAATATGCAGTACGCTAATATGCAGTACTTTGGTATGCAGTATGTAAATATGCAGTGCGTTAATATGCAGTACTTTAGTATGCAGTGGGTTAATATGCAGTGCGTTAATATGCAGTACTTTGGTATGCAGTGCGTTAATATGCAGTACTTTGGTATGCAGTGCGTTAATATGCAGTACTTTGGTATGCAGTGCGTTAATATGCAGTACTTTAGTATGCAGTGCGTTAACACTTCTGTAGCTTGCTTTTCTCATATCCTTTTACACAACTGTAACTGTCACTTTTCATGCATGCAACCAAGTGCAACACTATGACATCCATGGAATTGCCTGTAAGTGTGCGCTGGTATTCACATATTTAAACGCATTATTGCATTCTGCCCCTCTGTAGGAGAGTTGGTTATTCGCCCCGTCAGCGACTTCTTCCAACACGGTTGGGCGACAAGCTGTATGAACGACAAGCTTTATGAAGTGGTTCTTTTCCAACATAACCCAGCCATAGCATCCCTCCTATCTCCTATATTATTTTGCAGTACTTACTGTACATTAGTACATAAATAAAGTTTAGAATCAGTCAACATCGATCCCAGATATTGAAAAGACTCATAATGTTGCATGTCAAAGTTAAGTCCGATTGAACTGTGTGAGCTGACAAGTTGGGTTTAATATGCGACCGCATGTGATTAAGTCTCTCCCATTTCCTGGAGTTTTCTGTCCACATCATCAGCTAACATGGGCATCCACTCTGTGACTGTGTTTCATCTGTAGATAAAATGATTTTGTTAGAATGTAACATCTACAGCTGCCAGGGGACCGCGCCGAATCTTGTTTACTCAGCCCTTTGCACCGTCTGTCTCTCTCCCTACCTGTCTCTCTCTCTATTCGATCTATTTCTGTCTCTCTATAAGTCTCAGCCTCTTCACTCGCTTTCTTGTCTCTGCGTCTTCTTCTCTTGTATGTGTAGTCACATAGCCACACACGCACATTTACAACCACAGCTTTTCTTTGAACATCTATATGTGCTTAACATAAACATGCACACATTCATCTCCCAGCTCTATTCTCTCCGTGCACTCACATACACACTCGTCTACTGCTTACAGGGCCATATGATAGTAATTTGGCAATACGGAGGAGCAGGAGGGCTCAGCTGGAGTTTGGGTCTAAGTGGAAGAAGAGTTTGGTGAGCACAAAGATAATGCCATTAAAGCGAAGCAATGACCTGAAAGAGCGATGTAAGGCTGGATCCATTTTTAAAATAATAAATATTGACTGTTAAGCATCCCTAAGTCTGTGTGTTGTGTTGGTTGTATGATTGTGACACGATTGGACAAAAAGTGTGTCTGTCTGTATTTATATCCACACATCTGCAGGTCATAATGTTTATCCTCGCTGTCAGGTTCATGTCCCTGCACTCATTCACGGTGATGAAGATGCAACATGCTGCCCGTGTTTGTAACGACGATGTCGTGTGTTTCAGGTGCGTAACTTGTGCTACATGGTGACACGGAGGGAGAAAATGAAACATACCATGTGCGACATCCAGGAGAAGATCTTCCACCTGCAGATACAACTACTGGAAGAGGAGAAAGCTGGAGGTAAGAGAGAAAGAAAACACGAGTGTGTCCGTGGTGATTATTCGAAACATGCCAATGTTACCTTTAACCCACTCTAACACTGTAGCCAAGACCGCCAACACACACTCTGTCCACCCAAAAAAAAAGTGCAATTTGGAAAGCTCAAGTGCATAACGGTTACATCCAAACCCTTGTTGACTGAGTGTGGTGGGTGGACAGTTTTTGGAAATGGCCTGTCATCATTTCTGCACAGCAGGCCACACTCGACACCTGCATAGCCATGAACCCTGAAATAATAGTTCCGCCGGATATTTTGACACCCACCGTCCACATAAATGGAGCTCGATTTCCTATCCACTCTGCTCAGGTGACTGACCTCGATGCGTTTCATGCTGCTGCTCTGTGATGGAGAACATGAAGGACAAAGCCGGGTGGATGAGTTGATGCTGCAGTGTTGCCTAGATATCTGCTCAAAACGAGATTCATATTGTTAGTGGCACCACCAGGTTAAATCTGGTGAGTTTTTAGTATTCTATTAAATGTCCGTTTTTATGGGAGTCTATGAGAAAATGACCCTTCTTCTCACTTCATTTATTTCCTGTAAACATGAGTTTACGGTCTCAATCTCTAGTTTCAAGTCTTCTTCAATACAGCATGATGTTCATTTCATAAGTTATGGTCCATTTAGAGTCAAACAGACCATAACGCAGGGTATGCTTTAGGGCGGGGCTACCTTGTGATTGACGGGTCTCTACCACGGTGTTGTCGGGTCTGTAAGTTTTGAAGTTGTCTGTGTTTTTGTCTGTCAACTTTAACTTTTTCACGGTGTGTTTGATTGTGACCTTTTTGGTTTAGCCAGCGTTCAGTTGTACATAGCTCGTATCACATCTGGTTGCAAAAAACAAGATGGCGTCGGCCAAAATGCCAAACGTGAGGCTTCAAAACAGCAGTCCACAAACCAATGGGTGATGTCGCGGTGACTACGTCCTATTTTTATACACAGTCTATGTAGCAAACTAATTCCTATAACAATAATGATAACAATACTAAACACAACTTTATTTATATACATAACATTTTTCTAACAGCTGTTATATGTATACATTTAAAATCAACTGTACACAACAGAGACTAAACATGGTCAAGAAGACATTCAATTACAGTTAAAACAACAGTAATGGTGTCTTTTTATTTATTTAGCTTTCTTATAGAGATTTAGATGAAGTTACTGCGCTGACTGATCGGTGTCCCTTGGTATTATTATTATTACCATTCCAGAGCCGGGAGACTCCTCACCTTTTGACACCAATCCGGACTTTAGTACGTCTAGTGAGATTGCATCTGGAGCCAGAGGCCAGCCTGTGAAGAGCCTTAAAAGTTAGTAACAACGTCTTAAAATCAATACTTAAACTGACTTGGAGCCAGTGTAAAGCAAGCTGGTTATGAAACTGTGAACATTTGCCTGGCAGCTGCAGTTTTTGTAGCACCTGAAGTCGGTGAATGGAACTGCGGCTGAGACAGGAGTACAGCGAGTTCTAATAGTCGAGTGTAGAGGAGAAAGAAAGCAAAGAATCTCCCACGATGTCCATCACTTTTAATCACTTTGTTGATGACATGTCGGTCCTCTGACCTTCAACAGCCAAACAACATCATACATACAGTGTACAGGCAGTGGGATCTAATCCAGGAAGAAGAAAAAAAGCCAATCAGAGGACGCCAGCAACACTTTCTGGTATGCATACGAATTAGAGTCAATGAGCTCTTCAAGTCTCCTTTAAAAAGCTCTTCTCACTGTAAACAAACAGTAAAGTAGGTGATATACAGTAGAAAGTAGGTTCACAGAACACAGGAAGATTTTTTTTTTCTACAGATCAGTCCCAAGTTGCACAATGTAACCTGTAGACGTTAAAAGCTAGAAAAAGACACTAAAGCCAATCTCAACATGGAAAAAAAGTCTAATTGTTGTCTAATTTACAAGTTAGATAGTTATCTGGACTCTCGAAGAGATAAAGACACAGACAACTTCCTTCATCGATAGATTGATCAACATGATCATTAAAACAAAGTCAGATGTTTCTCATTGGCTGTTGTTAGATAGTTGATAGTAAACCATATTTGTGGAGTTGGAGGGTAACTTCGGTATTTTTCAACCTGGACCCTATTTCCGCATGTTTTTGTGTCTAAGTGACCAATATGGACAACAATTCTTGAACAATTTTTCCAGTATCGAGTGATGTAATCCTTACGGGCAATTCCACAGCGTCAATGAACGTCCACTAAAAGTGCTTGTTGTTGCCACTGACATGCAGATAGTTACTGACAGATAGTTATTATTAGTGTCTGACAACACAATAGAAAGGACTCTACAGAGAAATAAAACGTTTTTCTTTGTCCGCTCCATTTTTTTATTGTGCCTAACCAAGTCTCGCTCGGAGAAGTCTTGTTCTGAAATCACGGCGAATCCACATTGTCAAAATCCGCTAAACATTCAGCCATGACGTTGAAAACGATAACACCCAGCTACGCTTTCTGTGCTCCAACACAACAAAGTCTTCACTCTTCTCTCCAACTCCACGAGGCTTCTGGCAACAAGTCATGTGAGATTGTAGAACGAGACTTCTCCTTGAGCGAGACTTTATTAGACACGATGACGAACAGACCAGATCGAGCGAAAAGTAAGTAAGTCGTGTCCTTTCCATAATGTTGTCAGACACTTACAAGGACAATCTGAGCCTGCCAGTGGCAAAAACAACCACTTTTAGTGGGTTTAAATTTGGCGGTGGGAAATTGGCGCCGTCTGTCTTGCGGTCTCGCTCGATACTGGACCAATTTCAAAGATTGTTGTCCCCTTTAGTCGATTTGACACAAGGTGTGAAAATAGGGCACAGGTGGAAAAATACTAAAGTTACCCTTTAATTGTAGTTGTTAAGAAATGAAAGTGACCTGCATCTGCCTTTTATGTTGAGGAGCCCTTATTAGTTCTGGTAGTCGTGACCTGCAGCCGTCATGGCCGTGACAGTGAAAGCTTGTTGTCATGGTAATACCAATTACGTCTTGCTGGCATGATAATGATAGTGAACTCTCGTCAGCTCGCCCCTGTGGCCGTGTGTGTGTGTGTGTGTGTGTGTGTGTGTGTGTGTGTGTGTGGTTAGAAGTGCTCAATTTTCAGTGCTCATCATTCCCGAGGAAGGCTGCACATACACACATTTATACACTCCACTAAATCTTACAAACACTTTCACTCTCTCTCCAACTCCCTCTGTGTCTCCCACGCACACACACACACACACACACACACACACACATGCAGAGCTGCTGACTCAGCAGATTGCTGCCATCAGGTACCGGGAGCTGTGCTGCTGGCACTAAACAGCCATATCTATTCTCACTGCCACAGGAGTTAGATTAGAGAGGATAGTTTGTGTGTGTGTGTGTGTGTGTGTGTGTGTGTGTGTGTGTGTGTGTGTGTGTGTGTGTGTGTGTGTGTGTGTGAGTTAGAGAGCACCAGAGAGTGAAAGATGAGGTTGTCTGCTATAATGATTTGTCGTGTCCGTCACCTTGTATCTACCTATTTTCTCTTCCTCTTCTATCTTTCTCTCTTATTTTCCACTCTTCGTTTCTCCGTATCCTCTGCTTTAATCTATTTTTCTCCACCATCTGTTTTTCTTTCCTTTCCTTATCCTCTCATTTGCGGTGTCCTCTTTCTCTCTCCTCTATCTTACCCTTGGTTGTCTCATCCGACACTCTGTTTCAGTCAGTCCATCAGTTGTCTTCAATTTTGTCTTTCTGGCCACTCAAAGTAACTGAAAACCTTGCAAAGAATATAGATTTTCTAGATAATTAGTCTAAGCAGAGTTGGAAAGTTAGGAAATCACAAATGCTACATAAATTAAAAATAGTGTGTCGGCCATATTCACTTTGATCCAATGCATATTTGCTCTTATATAGTAAATGCAGAACAATAAGCGCAACATGTTGCACATCAGGTCTAAAGACACTGACAATATTCTCAGTCTTAAAGTATGTGTTTTAAAAAAGGTTGTTTTACCATTTTTTATTTTTTTGGCATATAAAATATGTCTGACATCCAGTTCTGATTTACAGAAGCTTGCAGATACCCCGAGCTTGCTATGCACCACTATCCCTCCTCCCCTCATCTCCCTACAGGCTTGTTTTTTTATTTAATTTTTTCAATGTGGAAACACACACACAGCTCTCCTCTAACCCTCCTGAAACGGAACCACAAACCTCTGTCCGCCTGTCTGTCTCTCATAGCACTTCACCTGTCATGTTCCACGTTCTGTCTGCCAGTCCTTCTGTCTGTCTGTCATGTTTATCTGCCTGTCTGTCATGTCGGGGGGGGGGGGGGGCAGCTCTCGTCATGCTTTCTGAATGCTCGCATGTTACCAGCAAGGCGGCCGATATCCCTGTAGTCCCACATGCAGACGGGGAGGCATGATGCCGAAGGGTACAACATATCATTCTGTGGCAAGTGATTCATAAATGTACAGGGCTGCGCGAAATATCACGAAATTTAAATATTGTATTGAATACGATTTTTGATAAATAATCATCAGTATTGTTGGTAACAACGACTAAGTGGGTGAAGGCAACAGTTAAAGCAAGCTGGTAAATTCAGAAAATACACCACTTTACTCTGATTTAAAACCAGGAAAACACTTATATATATAACCACATTATAATATCCAAAATGTAAGACGATATATGTATCTATTCTCGTATCACAATATCGATATAATATCAGTATATTTTGCCAGCCCTCACACAGTGATTAAAAAAACCTCAGGATTTTGTGTCAAAAAATACCAGTTCAGTGATATTCCACACTCTCACACACACACACACACACACACACACACACACACAGTATTATTATTATGCAGGAAGTGCACTAAATTTACATTTTGGCTCAAACTGAGCTGTGACAAGCTGACAGTGGTTAGTATTGGCCTCTCTGATCTGCTCTCAGCAAGTGTGTGTGTGTGCGCATGTGTGCATGT